GTAAGAATGTTCTACTTGCAAATAAATTTTTCTTTGTAACAAATTCTTAGCTATTCTTATTTCATGAAAAATTCAAAATTTGCTATTCTTTCATACAAAAAAATTAATGTCACCAACATATTGTTTGAAAGACAAGTAAAATCACCTACCACATATTGTATATCCATCCTTTTCTCCTAAATCTCATATCTCTCTTTCAAATCATTATATTTTCTTTTTTAAAATAAAAGTTATTTTTTTAATTACAATAGTTTCTGATGAGAATACTTTTAGAAATAATTTTCATTATAATTTCATTTCAATATTACATCCCTAGACATATCTCATAATCCAGTTTGATTTTCATCATGATAAGGGACGTAATAATGTCATTAAACAACTCCAGATTGCCTACTTCTCCAATAGAAAATGATATATCTTCTATGTCAACTTCACAGCAGCATATGACTATATCAATAGAGACTTCCTCTTCTCATCCATTAGAAACTGCTTTCCATGTTCTGACTTCACTGAAAGCATCAGTCTAATAGAGGAACTATATCAATCAACAAAATTATACATGGAACCCAATACAAATGAGAGTTTCAATCTATTTAATCTTTTCCTGGACTATGCCCTGCATTTTTACAAGCATGAATGTGAAGAAATGGACACTGATCATTCAAGGATTCAATACCACATCCCATCCAAATTTACTAATAGAAGACAACGATCCTGCTTTCCCTCCCGAGGCCAATGTACTGATGATGAAATGACCTTTTGAAAACAGAAACTATAAACTGGAATTGGAATGAAAGTAGTGATGGCACATACCTTAAATCCATCATAAAATTCAGGATGTAGTTGCAGTAAATACTAAATACTTCAAATACCTTTATATATGGATCAGTTATAAAAAAAATTAGCATCAGAAATAATGTAACTGAACATAGAATAGTCTACACTAGAAGTAATTTTGCCCAACACCACAAATTGCTACAAAACCAAAGCATTAACCTGAAAGGCATGTTCTTAGATATATAAATGTTGTGCATGGTTCCAAACCTGCTTAGATATATCTAAAATGTCAGCTGTATACAACCACTTTCTCAAATCAATTGTTAAAAATGGCTTTGAGTGAATGAAGCTTGAAGGTCTTATTCTTCTTTGACTCTCGTAGACTGGCACTACAGAATCACAAACAGAACTGTACCAAAAATGAGAAATGACTTTCAACAACTAGAATGGATATCGCATTTACCTTAAAGAGATAATAATGATAATCAAAATGTCGACTTTCTGCACTACTTAAAAAAAAGGTGTAATAATAGTATTATTATTGATATATATATTTTTTAAATTTTATATATATAAAAATTGTAATAAGAAAGATATAATTCAAAAGAGAAACAATATATTGTAAAGTTGAGTAATGTGAACACAACACTGCAAATTGAAAAAAGTTGAACAGAAATCACAGAACATCAAAAAAGAAACTGAGAGCATTAGCAAGATACAAACAAGAAAAAAATCACTTTAAGAATGCCACAAAAAGGATAGAAAAATGAAAAAGGAAATATAAATTAACCAACAAGAAAATATTTTAAGAAGCTGGTGTTGGGATTGTAAGCAATTATTGTAGAGCTATACTGGATGGACTTGATAGCTAGGCTAGAAGGTGGATCTTTCATAGAAACATTCAGTCAATTTAAAAAAAAAAAACAAGAGGAATATCAAGTAATATTTTGGGCTAGTATTGTAGACAGTAAAATTGTAGTTCCTTTCAGAGTTGATTAGTGCCTTGAAATAAATACAGAGAATTATTCTAATTTATTGGCAAGGCAATTCTTTGAATGGTACAAGAAATTAAGCTCATATGTCAGCATTTTGTCAAATTCTAAACATTGCCCACTTTGCCAAAAAGATTTAAGAGAAGCCAAATTAATGGAAGAGTCCCAGCCTCTCTATATATCAATTTGATCGAATATGAGTTCACTTTGTTTTCTTCTTCCTCCTCTTCCTACTACTTTTCTTTATTTGGGTTGTACACAGTTTTTAATATTTCCAAAAACATTTGGAACCTGTTGTCTTCAAATGGGAGGTACTGTTTTTGGAATATATAGTCTACAAAATAACTTTCATAAAATTATTTCTGGTTGTTATGTTTTGGCAGGGATATCTTTAATACTAACCAAATGGATTCTGTGGTTTACATGTAGGCCCTGCTTTCAGACATAGTTTTCTTCTATAATTTTGTACCAGTCAATTAATCTATTGAAGGTTCCCTGTGTACAATATGAATTATCAGTAATTAAGTTAAAAATGTCACTTTCACATTTACATTTCTCCTCTGTAAGCCTACCTATCACTACTTTTTCCTGGAGCCAATTAATTCTGACTTACTCCTACAAATTTCATAATTATTATCATATACCATAAAATTCATGGTATTGCAAATGAAAAATCACAAATTTCACTGTAAACCACAAAAACAAAGAAAAATAAACTTTGAGTAGTTTGTTCCAAAAGTAGCAGTGTCATTGATTTTTTAAATGTAATTTTAAATATTAATATAAATCATTATATTTGCAGTTAACAATTAAGTTATTTGACCGTATAGAGATTAAAATTTTTGTATTTGAATTATTATATATAATATACAGTAATTTTATTTTGAAGTTTACATATTCTCATTAATTTATACAAAGACATTATTTCAAAAGTGAAGTCATGTATATGAAAATTGCATTTTGCACATATTTTTATAAAAAATAATGAAAATTAGTTTGATGAGACACCTACATAGAAACACAGAAAGGATGAGGACAACTTTATGAACATTCTTTTTAGTCTTATTGAACAAAACAATGCATGTTTCAGTTGTAATCTAATTATTATTGTACTTATTGTTTATATTCATACAAAGAAAAGATAAACAAATTATATAATGCTAAAGAAAGCCACTATTTTTAGGCTAGATTAATGTTTCATGTTTGAGGAATAAACCTATTAACATGATGTATTTTTTTGGTTTAGACAGCCAAGAAAAATAGAACATTTGGTAAGGTACGGATGGAATCAGACTGGAGCAAAATGAATACTTGTTTTGAACCACAAACTTTAAAATTATATAACTTGGCCCAAATAGATCTAAAATATTAGTCAAAGTAAGCTCAATATTATTTTGCCAATAACCTAACAGGAAATTTATTCCATCACAATAAAACTAGGAACACAGAATTTGATAAACTGCCAGGAATTTTTCACCTAGTCTGTATTGATGTACAACTACTGGTGTATATGCATCTAAGGCCTAATAAAAATGGTAATATTACAGCCCCACCAAATGGTCATGCAGATGATCTTGGAGTGAAGATTTCCTTTTAGGAAAGTTGAGTGAAAAGTAAATTTTTCAATCCAAAGAAAGGCACATTTCTGATTATTATAGAGGAACTACTTTTCATTAACACACAATCAAGAAAAAGGATAATTTTCGAATCACACAAATTCCCAAAATTATCAAACTATGCAAGCTACTGATGATCAAATCAGGAGCTATTCACTTCTGCATCTTCTTCATTTTGATGAAAATGCCAAAATGCCTTGTAATTGTTATATGGGGTCCCTGCCTCTCCACTCTCTCCCAATGCCTAAATCTTTGTTTCTGGGTGAGCATTTGTTCAATGAGAATATATGACTATAATCAAGCTTTGGAACCAATAACATAAATCCATTTTGAAGTTGTTTTCAGTTTGCAAAATGCTTATGATATTGCAGGTGATTTCAGCAGTATAATGGACAAGTTTGAACTTATGGATTTTATACTAAACATGAAAATCACATTTATTCATCTTTGCCTATTTTTTCAAAGTAGGGGAGCTTTGAAAAAATAAATAAAAGTAATCAAAAAATTCACAATTCAAACAGCACCTGTAAAAGTACACTCTTTCAGGTGCTGTTTGAATTTTTTTAATTTAAAGTATCATATAGGTATACATATCAGCAGAATGATATGATATGAAAAAGAACAAGAAAATTATTGCAGTAAGTCTATGCAAAAGGAACAATTTATTTTGTACCCACCTAATATCTGAATAGCTTTTAAAAACAAGAGCTAATAACTAGATAAATAAATGATGAGCAAGATATGTCAATTTAAGAAGGAAAAGGGTACAAGCAGATAAATTCTTCAGGTTAATTTGGAGGAATCATTTCTGTGTTCAAGATTAATAAAATTAAGTATTAGATAAGATAAAATATCCCTACACACAAGCTGCTAGTGGCCTGCTGGTGAGCCACCACTATCAACGCCAGCAGTCCTCTGGCTGCAACCTCCGGTGTGCCACAGTCAGGCCACCAGTGGGCCTCTAACAGTTCGCCAGTGGTGACATTGCTGACACAAACATGCTGGTTGCCCACTGGCAGGCCACCAGTGGCAAACGCTAGTGGCATGCCACCCAGTGGCAGATTGGTGGCTTGTGTAGGGATATTAGGTATAGAAAAAAATCCTTGCTGTTAACCTAAAAGTATTTTAAATATATTTTGAAAATTTTGAAAACTTAAATTTGTAATTAAATTATTATAATTTTATTACTGAAATTAAAATCATGAAAATAAATGTAATTTAAAATTAAATATCTTTTAGAAAGTAGTAAAATAATTGAAAAATATTTGCACTTCAGTGGATTATAAATTAATAATGAGTAATAGGTTTCTTTCTTTTTTCATGTATTATTCAGAGAAAGGTATGTGTATGTTTGTTAGATATCTACTTGGATGTATTTAAAATTATTTTCATATAAATTTAATAAATCTGTAATGCGTACAAATATTTATTTATATAAAAATCAAAAGGCTGCTTAATGAAGGAGAAATTTCAGAATTCAAGTTAACTCCCCTACTTAAAAAATAACTTGACTGGTCATCAGTATACATTGGCATTGTGCCACTTTCAGTCAGCAGACGAAAAGGTGAGAGAGAGAAGAGTCTTACTTGTAAACTTCAGTGAAGGGTGAATTGAAATGTCTCGACGAGCATCTGTATTCAGCTTTCTTGGAGTTTCTGAAGAAGATATTCACAGGTAAGTTTCTTTTATTCACATATACTCTATCTGAAAAGTGCTGCATTTTAAACTTTTGACACTTGCAAATACTTATCTTGAATATATGAGTGCTGCTACACATGCAACTAAATGACATTTCCAGTTATCAATGCAACAAATATAAATACTGTTAAGTACTGTTTAATCTTCACCTGAAGGACATTTTTAAATCAACAATAGTAATAAAAAGAAAAAATAGGAGACATTAAAACAATTAATGCAAATGACAAATACCTTGTTTTCTAAATACATACATTTTCAATCTATTGTTTCAAAAAAAGTTGATTCTTTTCTATCAGAAGTTAAATTTAATCTCATTTTAGTAAATACTTCCCTAATAAAATATAAAATGCAAAAGGAAAAATAAATTGATCACAATGACAGCATAATTATCTTAATTTTTATTTTTGTGGACAAAAATTATTCCTGTTGAAGTCAACAATAGAAATATAAAAGGAAAGCACTGACTATAAATACAAAGTTTTTTTTTTTTTTTTTTTTTGTAATGGACAATTATCCATGTTGACAGGTAAAATATAAATTTCAGCCATACTTAAAAATGAATAGAGATAAAATATGAAATATTTATATAATTTCTATATATAAGCTTTCTTACAGTTTTGATTTTTGGGCAATCTGCATAAATCAGATGTCAAATGTTAGAGATAGAGAAAAGTGTTATTAATTTCTCAAAATCTTCAAATCTCATCATTAAATGTCAAAATATATTCATATCCCAGAAATTATAAAGAAACTTATGATTGTGTGCATACTGATGCACACAATTAAATTCTTGAAACTATGTTCCAACTGTATTAAAAATATTGAACTTATAATTCAGATGCAAATATCTTTTCCATCGCTCAGAGATCCTTTCCTACATGCATGCATGTTATTTTTTTGTTTTGAAAAATCAATGTAACAAGTTGAACAAGAACATTCTTTCAAAAAAACTACAAGTCTATTCATGTTCATATATTTAATTAGTTTATGTAGCAATCAAACAAAACTAATAAAAAGAAAATGGATTTTTTAAAAATCTTGTTTATAAAGGTGACCTTTATCAATCTGCTAGCTTTAAAAGAATAACAAGCTTTTGTATTTTTGACAAGAGTGTAACTTAAGTTTCTATAATTTTGATACTGACCACTGTCATTAAACCTTCAACTCATTTGGTTTATATCCTTTAAATAATTAATTGTATGCATGAAATACTCAATTGATGCATTATTTTGTATTTGCTTTCCCTAAGCTACATATGTAATTTGTTGAAGGACTGTAAAAAACTTCATGTAGACAATCTAATTATAAAACTGTTCTTCAATGAAAGTTGCACCAAAATAAAAATAGAAAATTTTCATATAACAAATATTTGTGCAAAATAAAGTATCTTATGGAATATTAGGAATTGTTAGGATTCACTTATTCTTGTGAAATATTGCTAATGACTCATCTCAGAATTTTAGACAATATAAAATATATAATCTATTCATGAGTTATTTACTTACCTAATAATATGTGCCCTGTAGTGTTTCTGCTTACCTGAATCTATTATACTGTAAGTATTTATAATTTGCCAATTTTCAATAGTGTAATCCTAAGGATTTACAATGTATTTTTTACATGATACAATGATGTATATGTTTACACCAATTATGTTAGATATGATTTTTTAAAGTTCTCACTTATATAATACAGAACTTCAATTTCTATAACAGATATTTTTAAATACTTTGGTTTAAGCTAATCAAATTTCCAGTTCATAAAACACAATATGAATCATAGCAATCATTAGAGTAATCTTTTGACTGTATTAATACATAAAGGTTCCAGCTTAATAAATTCATTTTGAAGTATTAAGTCTTATAAAATATTCAGTAATATTATATTTGGTAAACTAAATTAAATGTAATTTTTTAAGAAGTGGAATAAATAATCAAGATAAAATTATTCATCTTTCCCTGCATTTCACAAAACCTTAATTTCATATAATATAAATAAATAACAAGAAAATAATTGAATTAATTAAATTTCTACTTCAAGATTTAAATGTGCAAAATGAATGAAAATGTATAATGTTAAATACAGTTATGTTAGTGGGGTGCAAGAAAATATTCCTAAAGCCCAAACTGATTTTTCTTCAATTGACTTTGTGTAGAATAAAAAAAGAGTATATAAATACCAGTATTACAAACTGACAAGATTAAAAAACGTAATGACCTGTTGTACACTAAAAATACTTCTTTTTTTTTTTGCTGTACTTAATGTAATTTCTTAAACTGTGGTCCACACTTACATTTTATCACTTTTCAAGAAAGTCTTTCTATAAAATATATCAAAGCTATATAACATGTCAGTATCCAAAAATGAAGAAAAACTAAATTGCTGTTCTTTTCTTGTCAGTATATTGTGACAAGCCTCTTATTGTTCTTAATATTGACTTTTTGACATTGGACAAGAATTCTAATGTTGTCAGTGGTCAGTACATCAATTATATTTGAAGATAATGGTCAAAATTACAAAGGCATTATTGTTAAAATCCAATAAATGGGTAAAAATTATTTAAGCACCTTGTAAATAAACTAAAGAAGAAAGTTTGATTGTGAGTTCTGTATACAATTTCATAGGTAACATTTATGACATATCAATCATTTTATTACAAATGCATATAACATGCTAAAAGTAGGGTACACAAAGTACAACAACTAATATTTACAAGATTATCAAATTTTAAAAATTATATAGAGATAGACATCACTTTGAACAAATATGATATATATTTATATATATATCATATTTGTTCAAAGTGATAACTTTCAGGATTAATATTCCTTTATTGAACACTTTTGAAATCATTAGTTATGTTATGAAGAGTTTCAGGGCAGAAAATTTATTCTTTCTTATTCTTCAAGAATTATGAATTTGTGTTCTTTCATAAAAATTACATGTCAGAGTATATTTCTTAATAAATATTACTTTTTAAAAAATTTAAAGAAATAAACTGGACAAGACTGTTTGGAAACTGAAAGAGTAGATCAAATGGTCATTGCTATTTGTTACTACCCCATCTCAATTTCAGTTAATTAATTGAATTAAAACAGATACAGGCACATAAATACTTTAAATCAAAAAAGTAATATTATTTTGCAAATTGCCAAAGATGTCAGAGCCACTCAAATATACACTCTGTATTAAATACTGATATTTTAAAGAACAACTGGAGAAGAGACTAAAATATTCTAAAATAATAATAGTAACAAGTATAATACTGTATATTGTAAATAAGATTTTAATTTTTCATAAATGTTTCTATTGTTAAAAAGAAGATTCATTTTAATTACGGATAATTTGTCTTAAAAACTATATCTGATTATTTTGTAGGTAAGATTTTCAATTAAATTCTTTAGAAAAATAATAACAGTGGCAAATTTTAAAATCAATTGATTCTCCTAAATACCATTTAAATTTGTAAATATTAATGTTGCCTTCCTTTACTTATTCTCCTTTTTTCATTTCTTCTATTCATTAAAACTGTAACTTAATCAGTTTTATTTATTGTATAATGTGGATCATGGTGAATAATTTCAGAAAAATTTCTATAAAGAAATTTCTGCAAGAATTATAGAATTCTATAAAACTTTTATGCCAATGGAAAGAATATATTAACCCAATTTTTAGGGAGCAATAGGAAAATAAAAAAAATAATCTTTGTTCTTTTCAACCATGTTTAATAACTGTATGTCCAATGCAATGTTTTTTAAAATGTGGAGATAGCTTGATTTGAGCAACACCTGCAAGTGATGAAAAGAAAAAACAAATTTTTACTTTTCACACAAATGTTATCAAATTACATTATTATTTTTAATATATATATATATATATATATATATGTATGTATATCATGATGTTAATAATCATAGTCACCTTCAAAATTGTTCTTTTTTGTTTGAATAGGAAAGAGTGAGAAAAAATAAAACAAACAGAAAACAAACAACAAAAAATAAAAGGAAGTTGACATTGAAGTTTATGATTATCTGACATTCTCACATGACTTCAAATTGGGATGTAATTGTATCCAAGTGATATCTGTGTGTAATGATGTATACATGAAATCTACTCAAGTGTATCATACAATTTCTTAATCTTCTCAATAGTTATTTACAGATTTAAGTGAGTTCTGACTTAGAAGGAATATTTATAAGTACTGAATTAATTATATTTCATTAGTCATAACATTCTAGTTATCTAATTTAGTTAAAGTTATGTTAATTGATTTTTTTTAAATTATCTTATAAAATTCATACTTTGAAAACTCAGATGTAATCTTTTTCTTTAAAAGCATAGCAAAGTTCACATAATTAGAAATACTATTCTGTCCAATTTATGCTATAAGTAACTGACCTACCACTGTGTAACTTTATAGTTGATAGACACGTTACAGAATATTGTTTTTATAATTTTAAAAATGTTTGTATTTTGACCTTGCGATATCTCTTCTTTTTATTTCTTATTGTTTATAATAGTAACATGGATCTGCACTGGCTAATTAAGAGATTATGTCATGGAGGAAATGATCAGGAACTTATGCTAATAAATAAATGAAGTGTTTAAATGTAAATTATACAAAAAGAAAGATTCAGCAAAGTTTTTAATAACTATTATTTTATTGATTATATATATATATATATATATATATATATATATATATATATATATATATATATATATATATATATATATATATACTAGTGTACCCATGTCATCAAAATTGATGGCAAGAAGGAATGTATTATAAATAAATATGTATTATATTGTAAGTAATTTTCATTTAATTTAAGTACCATTTTGTAATTTAAAATAGTTCATTGTTAACATTAATAATTAAACAGTGTATAATTTATAAACACCGCAGGAAAGATATCTGTATTTTATCTTCATGCATGTTTGCGTGCATGCACATGCACACACATGCATGCAAA